TCGGCCAGGGTACAGCAGCAGCTGGCTCCAGCGCAGGGCAGCCAAGAGCTGAGGGCACCCCAGAGCAGGCAGGGTCCTCATCAATAGGCACAGTCCCCTGGGGCCTGAACATGAAGGGGCAGGTGACAAGGTCCATCAGCAGTCCCAGACACATGAAGTGAAGAACCAGCTCCAGGGTCCATCCAGGAAACAAAAGGAGACAGGGCCAGAGTCATGGCTGCAACACAGCTCTGAAGTCTGCCTAGGGCTGGAGACAAGCTGTAATGTCCAGCTGAGGGGCCCATCCAGGAGCTGAGCTACCTACAGCAGAGATCCAAGGTCCACCCAGGAGACAGCGGCAGAGACCAGATCACCCACAGCAATGTTTAAGTAGCAGCTGAAGGCCCATAAATGGGCTGTGGCCAGGGGTGTGGGTAGAGGCCCCAGGTGAGGTTGGTCTGGGCCATTAAAGACTATTTCTGCCTTCAGGGCTCTGACATGTTCTTGGCCAGCCATGCAAGCAGGGCTGCAGCAAGCACAGGATGGTGGGAAACCAGGCACCCTGTTTATTTGACTCATACAAGGTGTCTGCCACCAAACCTCAGTCCAACTTACCCGCACCTGGGCATCCATACTTGCCTTTGGGAGCCCAAGAGCCCCTCATCTGTCTCCTTCCACCACTCCTGCTTTGTTCTCCAGGACTCCCTCTTGGATGGTGGCTGCCACGATGAATGCAGTCAGGGAGGTTTTCCAAGCAGTGAAGAGTGTGTCCGGGCAGCCTGAACCCCACACCTGGATGCAGGCATCCCCAGGGAGCACCAGCACAGGGAGGGAGGGTAGCTGGGCTGAGGGCCTCCGTCAAAGCAGGACACTATGACCTGCACGGGACAGTCACTGCAGTACTGCTGTTGGCCCATGGGACCTTGTGTGTGAGGGTCCTACCCAGTCATTTGCATGGAGCACAGGTTTGGAATCATGGCATGTGTGACTGCTCACTGCCAAGGGTTTGCTTTGGTTGGCATCCTATGTGCCTTCAGGTAAGGATGCCTCAGGTGCCTCCCAGTCCACACAAGCCCTTCAACAGGCCCCTGAGCTTTTTCTCCTCTGTAAGACAGTGCCCCATGCAGACAGTTGGGCCTGTCGGAGGGTGGCTCATGTGGAGATTTGGATTCTGTCACCCCACAGAAGCGACGGCTGGACAGGCTGGTCTGCCAGCCCCTCTGCAGCCTCTCAGACATGCTGGTGGGGCCACAACAGCTGGTCAAGAAGCGCCTGGACAAGCTGCTGGACTATGAGGAGATCCAGGAGCGGAAGGGCGAGATGGGCAGCGTGACATATGATGAGGAGGCAGCCATGAACACGTACCTTGCCATCAATGCCCTGCTCGTGGCTGAGCTCCCACAGTTCAACCAGGCGGCTCTGCAGCTCCTGGGGCAGATACTGTGCTCCCTCAGCGCCCTGCAACGGGACTTGGCTGCTCAGGTCCTGCACCAGGCAGAAAAGGAGCTAGAGCAGGTGAGAGTGACCCCTTGGCATGTGTGCCCAAACTGGTGCACATGCTGAGCCAGACCTGCCTTCTTCAGGCTCAGGACATCATTTGGATGTCAGGACACTGAAAGTTTGCTGTAGCCCAAGCCTGCTCTTGCAGACACACAGCTCCCTGTCTAGCATTTCTAAGTGATCTCTCCTCCCCTTTGGCTGGGGAAAGCCAAACTGGCTCTTCACTGCCAAGAACTGTCCTGCTCTCTATTTGAGGACACCACTGGTAATTTATTGATGTGCTGCATGAGAGATCAGTGCTAACGCTGAGCTCCTGAGAGCTCTGTGGTGGGAAGGCAAGGAGGAGAAGGACAACTCCTGGCCTGAGGAACAAGCATCCCTCAAACCTCCGTCCCTGGGAGATATCTCTCAAGACTTCTCACTGCATGGCACTCCCCGAGCCTGATGTCTACAAACATGGTGGGTCACGCCAGTCCAGCGCCCTGGGGTAGAGCATGGCCCTGGCCTGACCTGTGACCAAGATGAGAACAAGATGCAGCCATGTGGAGGTATCCTCTCGGGCACTGTTCGTACCTAGTCATGAGGGTGGATTCCCCTTGCACAGTCTGGGATGCTTATGCTGCAGACATCTACCCTAGAGCTACATCCACCTGGCTCCCTTTTCAGTCAGGTGGGATGGACTGTGGGCTTGGGGCACCACAGCAGGACCCAGGGACTGCTGAAATGGGCTGGGTAGAGCCCAAAAGTCCTGCATGTCACTGCCCTGCCTGGGGCAGGTGGCTCAAAGACAGAGAGCAGCAGCTCTTCTTACCAAAGGGAAGGTGCATCTTTAAGTGACAAGGTCTGTTCTCTTGTTTTCTCACCTCTTTGCTTCCTGCTTCTTTTCTTTTGACCTTACCCGCAGCTCTTCACCTCCCCAGGGCCCTTTCTGATCTCAGGGTCTGTCTTCACAGATGCCCCATGGCCACATGCCTCTGCCCAGTTTCTGGAAGATGGTGGAAGACACCTTGCAGCAGTCTGGTGCTCAGCTCCGTACCTTCTGCCAGACCTTTGAGACAGTCACGCCAAGCCATGTGACACAGGTAGGAGCTGGGAGGGCGATGTCTCAGGCTAGCTGGATGAAGAGGTAGGACTGTGGCTTCCCAGTGCGGAACATCTCCTTGAGGGGGAGGTTGGTTCAGAAAGTGGCACGGAGGGTTGCCACAGCCACAGTATTTCCCCCAAGCCCCTGACAGCAGCTGGCTGGGAATAACCCTAGATGAAACAGTCTCAGCTCTTCTGGTTCTGGACACCCATCTCCAAACCCTGAGGTAGAGCAGATAGTGTGAAGGAGTTTCTCCCCTAACCTCTCACTGGGACGTGATCCTGCAGAAAGGAGAGCACATGTACATGGAGGGCCTCAGTCTCCTGCCTGTCTCATCAAGTGCTCCTGTGTCTCTTGCTCCCCACCAGCCTCTGAACCCTGCCGAGGAGCGGAAGGTCCTTTCCCTTGTGAGCAAGCACGGCCCAGAGAAACTTTACCAAGTGACAAGCAACATCAATGGCAGCAAAGACTTGGACCTGACCTTGCAAAGGGGACAGATTGTAGCTCTGCTGCAAAGTGTGGACACTAAGGGGAACACGAGCAGATGGCTGGTGGATGCTGGAGGTACTGTGGGTGCTATGGGGAGCCTCTCCCTGTCTTGGCACCAGGGTCAGAAACAAAACCCGGACCACTTCCTCATCTTGGATGAAACAGCGGGCCATTGCCTCCCAGGTCCTCCCTTCCAGGGTTTGCTCAGCCCAAACCCACCTCTGCTTTGCCAGCTGTACCCGTGGCCATTAGCTGTAAAGTTCGGGTTTCCCCATGAGGGAGCACTTGTGGCTCATCATGGCTGGGAAAGGAGAATCCTGTGCATTCAGAAACATCTTGAAACCCCTTTTGGGGGGATTTTGCTCCCGGATATCCCCTAGTGATGGACCAGTTCGAACAGGGCTGCTGTGCCATGTCAGGCAACAGCCAAGTTGTCATTCCTCTCTCCTCCAACCAGTCCTACATATGTCAGGCAGCGGGGCCCCATGACCTGTGTGTGTGCATGTCCTCCAGGTCCCCGAGGGTTTGTGCCAGCTGGAAAACTCCAGCCCTATTGCCCGGTACAAAGCCAGCAGCCTGGGATGCAGATGCCAGTCCTGGAGAGCAGCACAGAGAGAAGGCGACATTCTTACGCGTCACCTGAAGCTCCCAGGCCCCAGGTGGCCACCTTCACCCCAGCCTTCCAGGTGAGAGTGGGGGACGCCCCCCAAGGCCATTCCTAGCAGCCTCACCAGCTCCATGCTAGTCTGTGTGTGCAGCATGTGGGTGGGAAGTTGGACCTGCTTTTCCAGCACACACGTGGTCATACATGTGCAGCCGTGTACCTAGCAGAGAAGTGTCACAGCCGCTGGCCGAGTGCCCCGCGAGGCAGGTGTGTCTGCCTTGCCAGGACCTGGGGTGGACAGAGCAAAAGAACTGTGTGTGGTGGGGTCCCCGGTGTCCCTCCATCAATGGCAGTACTGCGCTGCCCTCTTGGAAACAACCTCCATGTCTCCTCTAGGTCCTGCCCTGACATGTATGTCCTTGCCCCCCTTTGACTCTCAGGTCCAGCAAGGGCTTCCTCCCTCCTTCCCCTGCCTTTTGCAGGTGGTCGCCGGCTTCTCCTTCGCAGCCAGGAGTCCGCAGGAGGTGAGCCTCCAGGCAGGGCAGCCCGTGGTGGTGCTGGAGCCGCACGACAAGAAGGGGAACAAGGAGTGGAGCCTGGTGGATGTGAATGGCCAGAGAGGCTACGTGCCCTCCAGCTACCTGGTGACTATCCCTGTGCAGGAGCCTGTGGGCTGGAGCTTGCCTGTGTGAGCATGGCCAGCCCGGCACCCAAGGGTACAGGCTTCCTCAGATGAGAGCCGTCTGCTTGGCACCTGAGGACTCGTGTAGGAGATGCTAGAGGGGGGTCGGCCCTGGGCTGGGAAGGTGGTGGGAAGCAGCTGGCAGAATACGGCCCGGGGGACATAGGTGCGAGGGGTGGCTGTTGGGAGGCACTTTTTGATGGGTAGGTGTGAGGGTGCCGTGTCCCAGACGTGTTTGCACAAAGGAAAGCAGCACGAGGGAGTGAGGGCAGGTGGCTGCGGTTTTCCAGAGGGCCGCTGAGATCCATGTCGGTGACAAAAGTGTCCCTCGGGGTGATGAGACGCTGTTGTCCCCAATTAGATCAGGGTGGAGCTGCAAGGGGTGCAGTGCCGCAGAGGGGGTCTTCAGCCTGCCAGGGGGCTCCTGGGGCAGCGCTGGCCTGGCTGCAGCGGCCGAGGTGGCGCAGCCCCGCAGACGCGGCTCCCCGCTCCT